ACATGCCAATTATGCTCAGATTTTTAGTTTTTCATGTTCCATGTGTTTTATGTTTAGGTATGTCTAGAGCTTAAGGAATAATACATATTAAAGTTCAGTTTTATTCTCGCCTCTTTTAGTCTGATATTCTGGAGAAATTAACATAGGAAAAGATACTGAAGGATAATGTTAAACTATGTCACAGGTCTTTCATATATTCCCTTTTTATAGTTTAAGTGACTTTAGCTCTGTCCTTGAAACTTTTCTGAAAATGGTAGCAAATTACTGAACAAAAGGACCGTATGAATCTTTTTAAAAACTATCTCCTGTACATTTTTAAAATTTGTTTTTACTTTTCTCAATTAGAGTTGACAGTCAATATTATTTAATATTAGTTTAAGGTGTACAGCATGGTGATATTTATATAATTTATAGAATGATCCCCCCAATTAGTAATACTCACCTGGCACTATACATAGTTCTTACAATATTATTGGCTATATTCTCTGTGCTGTTCTTTATATCTCTGTGACTATTATCTCCTGGACATTTTAACACTTCACTTTTTTGTCTGTTTTAAATTAGTGTGAAGGTAAACTATTGTTCGGTTAGCCATAACCCCTTAAACTATTTTTCTTTAGTTGTGAGATCTGTGGTGTTTGGCGTCACCTCATGGCAATAGTTTTACATAATTATAGTTCCTTACAAGCTATTTTTCCCCTTTCAATGCTTTACTTGCTATTGGTTAGTACCACCATCAGAAGCATGTGGAAGCTGCTTTGGTTTGCTTCTGATCCATGCAGAGTTTCTAGACTTTATTTATTCAGTTAAATAGTGGGGGTAATAGTGGAAGTTATGTTAGCTTTACGTGTCTTTATTTCTACAATAGTTTCAGCTAACTCCTCACCTCCAAACCCCAGGCTGTGAGAATACTGGCATTGCTGCTTCCTTTTATAAACAAGGGGAGACAAGGAGAAGAATCAGGTAAACAAAGCAAAATTAGAAGATGCAAGGGAGTAATAAAAATTTCATGGTGGCACTCCTTATTAAAAATAAACACAGCGAATTTGGAGAAAGATGGCAGAATGAGAGACGGCCCCAGATTTCTTACCTTGAAAGAACAATAATCTGAACATCTAAAACTCAAGAAAAAACACCCAAGCTGCACACCAGCACGTCTGAGCCTGGGATCAGCATAAGAGCTACCACAGGTCAGAACCTCGGGTGTTGGGCAGTGGACTGGAAGAAACAAAGAAGATGCCTCTCGCAGCCCAAAGAGCTCCCTGTAGGAGGAGGAGGGAGGGGAGAAGGTGCAGCAAGTTCCCTGAACAGCCCTGCCTGGGAGCACTGTGAGCTCCACGCAGCTGGCGGCAGGGCCCAGTCATCAGGGTAGAAAGCAGAGAAGCAGGATAGCAGAGAAACAACAGTTGATTTTTACCAGCACCACTTGCAAAACCGAGGCTGAGCCACAACCCCCAACCCCAACCCAGAGGGCCCCTCCCACCATATCCTCAGAGACCGAACACCGTGGGGCCCCAGGGAAATCTGAGCAAACCCTACCAAAACTGTCACTAACACTGACAGAGACTAAGACTGAAGGTAGCGAGTGTGATTAAATATCTACAAGAAAATAAAAATGCATTTTTAAAGCTTTATATAAAGCAGGGATACAAGAGGCTTAGACACCATCTAAGGGAAAGCAAAAAAAAAAAAAAAAAAAGAGCCTTCATTGCAACGGGCTAAAGAGAGACCTTTATATAATGAATCATCTTTCTGGGAAAAAAAAAGCAGAATGCACTTCCATTAATAGCCAAGTGGAGAAACAGTCCATTAAACACCATGAACAACCAAGGTGACAAGACATCTCAAAAAGAGAGAGAAAAATCTCCAGTAAATAAGCTGACAGAAGTAGGAATACTTGATTAATATGATGGAGAATTCAGGATGGTACTTCTGAGAAAACTCAGTGACATCCAAAACAATTCATATCAACATTTCAGGAATTGAAAAAACAACTAGATGAGCAGAGTGAGTTCTTTAGCAAGGAGATTGAAACCCTCAAAAAGAACAAAATAGAACTTCTGGAGATGAAGAACACACTGCAACAGATGAAAAATAAAATAGCGAGCTTAGGAAATAGAGTCAACCACATGGAGGAAAGAATCAGTGATATCGAAGACAGAAATCTAAAACAAATGAGAAGGAAGAAGAGAGAGACTGAAGAATGAAAACTAATGAAAGAGAAATACAAGAACTAGCTGATACCATCATGATAGGAAACATAATAATAATGGGCATTATCAAAGACCAGGAAAAGGAGCAGGGACTAGAAAGCATTTTCAGATGATAGTTGATGAGAATTTCCCAAATCTAAGGAATGAGCTGGAGCTTGGAATTCAATAAGTCAACAGAACACCTAATTCCCTCAACTCAAAAAGGCCTTGGCCAAGACACATTGTAATAAAACTATCAAAAGTCAATGACACAGAAAGATTTATCAGGCCAACCATGGAGAAAAAAAATGTAACTTATAAAGGAAAACGCATTAGATTATCATATAACTTCTCAGGACAAACCTTACAAGCCAGGAAGAAGGGAAATCAAATATTCAAACTATTAAGTGAAGGGAGCTACCAGCCTAGAATAATGTATCCAGCTAAGCTCTCCTTTAGATATAAAGGAGAAATAAAGACCTTTCCGGACATACAAAATTGAGAGAATTCTCCACTACAAGGTGTGCACTACAGGAAATACTGAAAAGGGTCAGCACACGTAAAACAAAATGACAAACAAACAAAAAAAACATAATTAAGAGTAAGTAGGAGTAAGGTGACTGTCAGGCAGGTAGAGGAAGAGAAGTGCAACCCTAAGAACAGAGCATTATAAGCTTAAACAATAAGAAGAGAATTGCTATAGCA